CCCATCCCGCCATAAGCTCAGACCTTGACCCTTTAAGCTGTCTCAGCTCCGCCACCCCGAAGAAATAGTGCCCGCTGCATACCATCCTGCCAATGCAAGTTTAGCAGATCCCAACCCACCTCCGAGAGATGAACCCCATCCGAGCAGTAGTACCCCGGCAACCCATCTTCCAACTCGCCGTGCCGCACCACCACTCCCCCCACCTTCCTAACAAAGCTTGCCATCAAGCTGTTCACTTTTTTCCTGCACTGATTGATAGCCACCGGATCCCGCGCGTGCCGCCACCGACGCCTTGGGACGATCTCCGACCAAACTAACATAACCCCCGGAAGCAGGTCCCTCAATTTGTTGATGTCCTGCTTCATCCATTTCACCAACCGTCGTTGCGGCGTGAGGCCCAAGTCGTTACCCCCGGCATGAAGGACCACCAGGTCCGGCGTTTTCCCACCCGCAACCATCCTAAACATTGCCCCACAAACCTCCCCCCAGCAAAAACCCCGGTACCCAAACCATCGGACTGCCAACTGGTCCCTCGGAAAGCCCAGCTGCTGGCCCTGTGCTCGAGCTGCGGCCCTCCTCTCGGCCCAGAAGACAAAAGAATGTCCCACAATCCAAGCAACCCGTCCTGGGGAGGAGAAGAAAACAAATTGTGAGGGAAGGCAAAGGGAAACTCCCCCCTTTCTGCCCGCCCCCCCCCCCCACCCCCTGTTACATTCATGTTTTTTTTTGGTTTTGATTAGTCCAATAAACCCAACCGTACATATGAACGCAACCGCACCGACTCCCATCTCCCTATTCGCTTCACGACCTCATCCCCCAGCCCCAACCGTGCGGCCTCAGTGGCCGCCCCAATGCGAAAGGAGTGAGTACCAAAATGCCCAGCCTGAAGCCCCAACTTACCTAGTCCCAATCGAAAAACCTTCGTAAATTGGAATCGGGAAAGGGAAGAGCCATCCGCATGCACCAACAGAGAACCCCCTACCACCGGCCTCCGAGCCATGTACTCCGCCACCGCGGACACCGGGCACAATACTGCGTCCGGTAGGGCCCATAGTGTTACATCCCAATCCACGCCGCGGACATCCGTTTTAGATTTACCCAGGTGCACTACCATCTTAACCTCCAAAACACGAACCCCCGAGGCCTGCAAACCCCCGGGCACGACCCTACTGGCACTCACTAACTCCCCTAAGCGGAACGCCCTGAAAAATGCCAAGAGAAAAGCCGCTCTGAACAGAGAGACCTCGAACCTGCTGAAACAAACTTCAGGCAACATACCCACCAGATCCCCCAACACCCGCACCGACACCGGGCGCGTAGAGTCATGCGACCTGCGGCCCTTCCGATAACCCTTTAACGCCTGCCTAACGAAGAAGGTCTTGGTAAGATCCTCCTTCTCGCGCAACCGGAACCAAAACGCCATTGCCACCATGGACCTGTCAACCACTGCCGGGGACGCCCCCTTTGCCAGCAATTGACAAGTGAACCACAGAAAAGCGTCCCGTAGCGAATCCCCTTGTAATACATGATCCAACCCGTCCAATGACCGTTCCCAAGAATCCCAGACCTTACTGTAGGAGGCCCATGTGGCCGGTGCCAGGGAAGCCTTCACAAGTCCCCCAAGCAGGATGCTCCCAGCTGCCATATCTCATCCGGGCAAGCCTGCCCCTCCTTCAATGCCCCTGGCGCCGCCGTCCAAAATCGGGACCACTGAAAATGAGACAGAGCGTCAGCCACTTCGTTCAGGTACCCAGGGACATGACGCGCGCGAAAAACAACATTCCGTGACATACACATTAACACAAAATGCCGCAGTCACCTAACCCCTGGCTTAGAGGCAGCCGACTGATTATTCACCGTGTGCACCACCGCCATGTTGTCCGAGAAAAAGACCACTTTTTGGTCACGCAGCCCTTCGCCCCACAGCGCCATCGCGACGACCAACGGGAATAATTCCAGGAAAGTCAGGTTGCGCATGATCGGGCTGGACCCCCATGTCTCCGGCCACCTCTCCGCACACCATCTCCCGCCAAAGTATGCCCCGAAGCCCACACTACCCGACGCATCCGTGAATAGCTCCAGCTCCGCCGCCGACTTGCCCTCATGCCGGAAGAACACCGTCCCGTTGAAATCCTGCAAGAAGGCATCCCATACTTCCAGATCGGCCCTCATGGCTGCCGACACCCGAATGAAGTGGCGTGGGGATCGAACCCCCGCCGTAGCAGCCGACAGGCTGCGGCTGAAAACCCTCCCCATAGGTATTACCCGGCATGCAAAATTCAGCATCCCGATCAACGACTGCAGTTGTCGCAGCGTAACCTTGCGTGCCACAGCCACAGCAGCCACTGCTCCTCTTAGCCCTTCCAGCTTGTCCCGTGGCAGCCGGCATTCGCCCAGAACCGAATCTTTCTCCAACCCCAGGAAACGAAGGCACGTCGCAGGGCCCTCCGTCTTATCCGCTGCCAGCGGCACCCCGAAGTGGCCCGCCACCCATTCTATAGTCCGAAGCAGTTGCAGGCACGCCGAGGAGGCAGCCGGCCCCACGCAAAGGAAATCGTCCAAATAGTGCACCACTGAACGGCTCCCCGCCTCCACCCACACCACCCATTCGAGAAAAGTACTAAATTTCTCGAAATAGGAGCATGAAATGGAACAACCCATAGGGAGGCATAAGTCCACGAAATACTCCCCTTCGAAAAAACATCCCAGCAGGTGGTGACAGTCCGGGTGGACCGGCAGCAACCGAAACGCGGCCTCAATATCCACCTTGGCCATAAGTGCCCCACGCCCGGCCCGTTTAACCAGCTCGACCGCCCGGTCGAATGATGCATACGAGACTGAGCACAGGTCCTTATCAATACCATCGTTCACCGACTCCCCTTTCGGGTAGGAGAGATGGTGAATGAGCCTGAACTTCCCCGGCACCTTCTTTGGAACCACCCCGAGAGGGGAAACCCGGATGCCCTCCAATGGAGGTACCGTGAACGGGCCCGCCATCCGCCCCAGCTTGACCTCCTTGCCCAGCTTCTCCCGCACCACTCCCGGGAAATCCGCAACCGATTTCAGGTTGTGCAACCTCCCAGACCCCCCCTGCTCCCGGAATGGAATAAAGAATCCGCGCCCAAAACCCGCCCTGAGTACCGAGGCATCAGCCCTATTACCGTAGCGGCTTAGCCACGGCTCCATCGCGTCTAGCCTCACTGGGGTGAAGCCCCGGGGCAGGGGAAGCACCCCCTCCGGCCGCGGCGGCCGTTCCGGCGTTTCCCGCCTTACCCTTTTTGAAACAGCGATTGAGCCCATGAGCGCCCCCGCAACCGGAGTACTCGTGCTTAAATCGACAATTGTTTCCCCATTTGCACTGGCCCTCATTGTAGAGCCAGCAGAAGCCCTTTTGTAAAGCGGCCGACGAGGCGGACTGCCCCTTCGCGCCGGCCAAGTTTTGAAAGGGCTGCGCCTTCTGCGCCATCATCAGTTTCATCCAGAGAGGCAGATCCATTTGATCCCACCTCATACCTGGATTAGCCGCCAGCCGCTGCCTGAACTGTTCGTCGTACCGCCACCACGCCAGCCCCCCAGAGGTGCGGTATGCTTCCCAAATGCCGTCCAAGTAGCAAAACAGGGACGAGCATAACCCCGGCGATTTCTCCCCGAGCACACTGGCCAGCACGCAAAACGCCCTCAACCAGTTACCAAAAGATTTCGGAATCTTACGATACCGCTTACGTTTTTCTTCCTCTTCCTTCTTCTCATCCTTTTTATCGTCCTCCTTGAGGTCAATAAAGTCCTCCAAGGGGAGAAGGGAGAAGATCTCGCAAAACTCACCCTTCCAGAGCTTCTCCTTCACGTCCTGTTTCAGGTGAACCCCCAGCGGGCCCGCAAAGGAAACGTACGCGTGCTGCCTAGCAGCGTCCGGAATACCCCCGGACAATTCCGCCCTTTCACTCCCAGTCTCCGCCGTCTCCGGCGCCACCCCCGCGTCCCCGCCCGAGGTAGGCCCCGCAGAAACCCCACTAGAACCTGTGACCTCAGTCCCCGGAGCCCAGACCCGACCAACGCCGCCCCCCATGTCACCCCCCGGCCCCAATGAGTGGAGTAGTGCTTGAAGTGTGCTAACTAAAGCGCTGGAATGTAGTGACCCACAGGACTCACCGGCCAAGCCCCCCAACACCAGAGCGGCAGGGGCTGCGTCATCGATCGCCCGATGTCCAGGAAGAGCGACTCCCGTCGATGCCTCGCCAACCGGGGAGCCAAACCGGCGCCTGGCCCGTGTAGAGAGGGAACGACTCCGCGACCTGGAAAGAGGAGAAGAGGTCCTGGGTAGGGTGTACTGAGCACCTGCCTCCCTCCCGTCACGACCCTGGGAGCGCCTGCCCAATGCCAAAGCCTCCCGCTGCGCACCCTGCACGCGACGCGCGCGGGAGCCCCTAGGACTGCGACTCCTCCTGTCCCCACCCAGGAACCGTGCCCGCCGACCACCCCTGGGGACAATGGCCCTGCCCTCCGCTGAGCTGCCTGACGTGGAGAGGCGCTGCCGGGACCTACCCCTCCTCCCCCTGGACTCCAAGGTTCGAACTGGCGAAAGACTACCACTACTACGCCCTGAACCAGACCTCCCCTGGCCCAGCCTAACAGCACCCTGACCCCCCTCAACCTGACTGGCAGCCCCTCCATCCCCTGTACCAGGCCTAACCGGCCCCAACTGATCAGGCCTACCCCCAGAACCCGTGGAGGACCCGCTCCCCATACCAGCTAAGCCCAGCAGCTCCTTACCACCCCAGCCCTCACCCCTCCTGGCACTCCCCCCTCCCATGGCCCTTGCGCCCCCCCATCCCCCACTAGGGATCCCAGGGAGGCCTGCCTGCCACCCACCTTCACTCTCCGGCCCCCACCCCCTGCTAACTCCTCCCCAGCACTCTTCCCGCCAAGGGGGCCCCGGCCTTGCCTGCTGTGCCAGGGGCCGGCCACGTGTCCTCCCAGTCCCGGCCCCGCCGTCCCCCAGCTCCGACGGGGTGGGAGCCCTCCCGGGCCGCACCTCCGTGCCACCCGTTCTTCCGGGGGACCGCCCGGCCACCTCCGACCCGGCAGCCGCAACGGCCCCATCCCGACCTTCCCTCCGGCGCCGGGCACTGGTCCTAGGCCCCGGCCGCTCGCGGGGAGGCGGGGCCTCTACCACGCGGCTGCCGGGCCTGCTACCGCCCGCACCGGAACCGCCAGGGCCGCCAGGGATGCCTTCACCGGGCCCCCCGCCCGGGCTTACTCTCTCGGGGGCCTCCTGGCCCGAACTGGTCTCCCACTGCCGCCGTCCTGGTCCGCCGCCTCCGCCAGGGCTGGAGCCAGCTGGGCCCTCAGCCAGTCAGCACCCAGATGCCTCGCCGCCGACCGGATCCCCTCAAGCAGACGCTCCACGTCGTCCATTGGTCCTGCAGGGAAACAAAAGAAGGAGAACCCTACCAAGCCAAATCTGTGACCACAGGAGCGAACACAGACTTAACCAGGTAGGAAATTAGAAATGACTCACCTAAAATGGCTGCCCATTTAAATAACCAAACCTACTTACCCATAACTCCACTCCCTTGCTTACTTCCTCCTAAGCCCGCCTCCTAACCCCTGTCAAGGCCTTTTTCCACTTAGCTGCGCACTAGCTACATGGGGCTACAAGAAGATCCTTCATATGTAATCTCTTTAATTCTATTACTTTGGTTTAGGGATTTTAATTTATTTGTTAAAGCACTCCCTACTCTGTTGTTTGAGTAATACCATTGTTGTTTCAAATATGATAGTGTATTATTTGTCTGTTGATGTAATTTATTTCTTATTTCTTTCTGAATTAATACTATTTGTTTATGGGACTCATTTGTGGGATGATGCTTATTTGTTCTCTCCATTCTGGCAAGGAGAATGTAGAGATCATTTAAAGTTTTACCTTGTCTTTTTTTAAAGTATACACCCTGTTTTATTAGATATCCCCTAAGAAAGCACTTCATAGAGCACCATAACGTGGCATCAGATACTGCATCATTATCATTTTCTCTTAAGAACATTTCAGCTGCTTTCAACAAATCCTCTTTGCTGCTTTCAGACAGTAAAATAGATTAATTTAGTGTCCACTTGGAATGAATCTTGTAATGCGGGTTATTTTTAATGGTCAGAAATACAGGGGCTAATTTTACAGATTTGTGAATTTAAGCAATATTCTAACAGTGATGCCCTCGTAAAGAAAAAATCAATCCGAGAATATAGGGGGGAGGAGGGGGGAGATGGGGTATTTTGTTCCTATACTTAGACCATTTAGCCATTTAGGTGTTTTTTTTCCTACCATGGTCTTAGGTTTCTCTAGTTTTTTTCCCAACATCTGAGCTAGATATTTTAGGTTTGATGGACTTTCTAAATATAAGAGACTCTGTAGGACTATACACTAGTTAAACAGAGAGACTGTTGTAAGGATTCGCTGATTGGATCACGGCTAGGAGCCCTGCAGTAAAGGACGATCAGTGGTGGGAGGATATACTGCTCGTTTGAGAAAGCCCCAAGAGGAGGGGTGAAACGTGTCACGGGACCAGGAACGCGGAAGTGCTGGAAGTGTATACACTGGAGACACCAGCCAAGATCGGGAACAAGGAGGATGGCGGCTACTGCCTGCATAACTTACAGAAGTGTACTTCATCCCCAAGGGCTGGTGAGCAGACGGTGGAGCTGTATTTAGAAAATTAAGCAGACTAGATGGGCCGAATGGTTCTTATTTGCCGTCACAATCTATGTATTTTTGCTGCATATGTTTTTATTGAGTTTTGAATTAAAGGAATTTTACTTACCTGCAAACCTTGTCACAAGAGCATCTATAGGATTCCACGCACTCTAGGGGCTGATCCTCCCTGGGTGCCATAGCTATGATTTGTACTCTAACCACTCTCAACTTGTGAGTTGATGACCTATTTTTTTATTCTTTTTATGCTTTGTAACTTTATTGCACTAGGAGTGCCCTCTGTTTTTTTGTCTCCTATTCAGATATCACAATTGTGGATTTACAAGTCTGCAAGTATATATATATATATATATATATTCTGTTCACTACTAATTTCCTGCTCTTGGTTTTATGAACATCTTGTTTCTGCTCATTACAGTGTTGTTTTATTGATTTTTTTAGGCATCGCATGCCTTTTTCCAATTGTGAAAGTTATTTAGTAGATTTTCTTATTTCTTTTTTTTCACTTATACATACAACATTGTGTCATCTTCCTGTCTGCCATCTTCCACACCTCCCCTTTCTGTCAGTCCCTTAACTGACTTCCCTTAAGATATAGGACTTCATTTTAAATTCTATATTCTAAATATCTATACTACCTACCCTCCCTAATACACAAGTATATCCCTTTCACACCCCTACATTTTGCTGAAGACCTGCATCTATCATACTCGCATCTCTGATGCCCGCCTTCAAGAATTCTCTAGGGCTTCACCGTTCCTATGGAACATCTTTCTATGCTCCATTAGACTCTCACCCATTCTCAATTTCTTTTAAAAAAAAATCATTAAAAACTTGCTTATTTCGGGAAAGCATATCAGTTAAACTGTTGATAGTTATTCATCCCAGCTCTCCTGCAACTGTGTCATCCAAAAAAAACCAAAGCCTTCATTGTTAACTATTTTAGAAACCTACACATAGGTGTGTTTGTATGTAATGTTTGCAGTGTGTGTATATTGTGCATTCAAAATATACATATACACAATGTGTGTTTGAATGTAAGCATTTTTTTGTATGGAGTATGTGTGTGAATGTTCGTGTTTGAATGCAGGTGTGCATTTGTGTGCAGTGTATACACATACAGAAAAACACACAGACAAATACACGCACTAATACAGTGATACACACAGACACACAAACAATGACACCTAGTTACCCACACACAAATACACAGACACTACTATATACAGATAGATGCTGACACACAATACACACAGACCCACATGGACACACAAATACACACTGCCACACAAATACACATACACACAGAAACAGGAGGTGAGGGTGACAGCGTGGGAGGGAGTGTGTACTGGTGACAGTGTGGGGGGGCAGGGTGAGAAAGGGTTACAGTGTGGGGGGCAGGGTGAGAAAAGGCTACAGTGGGGGGCAGTGGGAGAAAGACTATTTTGTGGGGCAAGGAGAGGAAGGGTTACAGTGGAGGGCAGGGTGAGAAAGGATTACAGTGGGGGCAGGGAGAGAAATGTTCATAGTGAGGGGTGCAGGGAGAGAAGTGGTTACAGTGTGGGGAGAGGGGCAGGGAGAGAAAGGATTACAGTGTGGGGAGGGGGCAGGGAGAGAAGGTGTTACAGTGTGGGGAGGGGGCAGGGAAAGTAGGGGTTACAGTGTGATGGGGCAGGGAGAGAAGGGGTTACAATGGGGAGAGGGGGTAGGGAGAGAAGGTGTTACAGTGGGGGGAAGGTGGCAGGGTGTGGGGGGCTGTGTCCAACCTTCATTTTGAATTAAATTAATTCCCTGGTGGTCCAGTGTCTCTCCCTGGTAGTCCGGTCTCTCCCGGTCTGCAGCTCCGCCGGGTGCAGAGCTGCAGACCATGTGACAGAGGTCTCGCGAGCACCCAGAGTGTTGCCATGGTAACAATCTGGTTGCTCGCAAGGCATCTATCACACGGTCTGCAGCTCTGCACCCGGCAGAGCTGCAGACCGCAGATGCTGGTTTCTCTCTCGGTCAGACTGATGGAGGGTCTCAGCGTCATACAGGGCAAGCTACTGGGCTCCCTCCTGGTGTCAGACCCGCGGTCATGGACCGAGGTCCCGACTAATCAGTCAGCCTGACTGGCTCTTAGGTACCCACTGGAAATCACCCGACGACCCACACTTTGGGAAACCCTGATCTAGAATGTAAGCTCATTTGAAACGAGCCTTCAACACTCTCTGTTCCTGTGCATCTAACTTGTCTTGTTGCAATACTTCTCTGCTAGTCCACCCATTGTACAGCGCTGCAACCTTAGTTGGGTTTATAAATAATATTAATAACAATTCACACTTTAATGATAAACCTTTTTTAC